CCTCTTGGCACATTTCTCTCTTTCGCCCTCCATTCGTGCCTCTTCAAATTCTGCAGCACTGCTGGTCACAGCTGACCTCCAGCTGGAGTGTTCAAGGGCCAAGGCTTCCCAGTTCTCGGTGTCTATGCCAGAGTTTTTATGGTTGGCTTTGAGCCCATCTTTCAATCTCTTTTCCTGTCCACCAACATTCCATTTTCTGTTCTTCAGTTCGGAGTAGAGCAACTGCTTTGGGAGATGGTGGTCGGGCATTCGGACAACGTGGCTGGTCCAGCGGAGTTGATGGCAAAGGACTATCGCTTCAGTGCTGGTGGTCTTTGCTTCTTTCAGCATGCTGACGTTTTCCACCTGTCTTCCCAAGAGATTTGCAGGATTTTCCGGAGGCAGCGCTGATGGAATCATTCCAGGAGTTGCATGAGACGTCTGTAGACAGCCCACGTTTTGCAGGCATATAGCAGGATTGGGAGGACAATGGCTTTATAGACAAGCACCTTGGTCTCCCTATGGATGTCCCGGTCCTCAAACACTATCTGCTTCATTGGGAGAAATGCTGCACTCGCAGAGCTCAGGCGGTGTTGTATTTTGGTGTCGATGCTGACTTTGGTGGAGAGGTGGCTGCCAAGGGAGCGGAAATGGTCCACATTTTCTAATATTACACCATTAAGCTGCATTTCTGGCATTGGGGAGGGATTGCACGGTGACTGCTGGAACAGCACTTTGGTTTTCTTGATGTTCAATGAGAGGCCGAGCTTCTTGTATGCTTCTGCTTGTAGATCTTCTTCTGAATGCGCACAGATGACATTGTCATCAGCATACTGGAGTTCTATAACAGATGTTGTTGTAACCTTGGTTTTGGCTCCACCAAATGTGGCACATGTGTATTCCTTGAGGGCACCAGGCTAATCCTGGAATCTAATGTCAGTCCTGGTTCGTCTTGGGTGGAAAACCACTAGAGGTGCTGTTTGGGAAAGATTGTAGTCCCCAGAATTAAATTTCCAGTCTTTGTGCTTGTTCGCAGTGTGTTTGTTTGAGTTGGAGCCTCCAACTTGAACTTAGTTTCCCCTCCAATCCAACCATGTGTCAGGCAGAGAGGGGACCCTCTTCAGCAGGATTCCCATCTTCTCCTCGTTTGCCTCTGCTTCCCTCTTGTGGCATACTTTTAAACAGTCGTTTCATTGAGTGTCTCCATGAAAGCGTATATGAGAAATTATTTTTTCTCCTTTCCTCCTAAAACCTCCCAGATGTTGTTTTCCTCTAAACTTTGAAAGCTCAGCTTCCCAGGACCAGACCCTCTTGGTTTGGAAATCTCCCCCTGAGCGCTTATCTGTCTGTGACCTTTCTGGTATCGAGGTGGCCTTTGAAGCTCAAGATAATGACAATCATGGGCTTAGCCTGTGGCTGAGAAACCCTTTTGGGGTTCGGAGAGATCTGGTTTTGCATCTGTCCTTTGAACTATGTCCCCATTGCATATCCTATCCTGAAAAAGATCTTATCTGGGAAGAGGTTGAACTTTCCAGTCTGTTGCTGTGTGCCTTTCAGCCTTGAGGGCAGCTATCTCAGGGCTTCCTTGGTAAGATGGGTCCAGAAGACGTTGCCCATTGCCTTCCTCTGGGGCTGAGAGAGTGTCATTGGCCCAAAGTCGCCCATGTTCATCATATAGTTGTCTTTCCTCCCATTGTTTGGTTTGCACAGCTCTCTATATTCTTCTCGGTTTTGGAGACGGATACTTTCCCAACATCTTCAGCCTAAAATGAGAGAGAAGGGAAATTTGGGAGAAAAATACCCCTTCATCGCGTTTACTACCGTATATTCCGGCATATAAGACGACTGGGCGTATAAGACGACCCCCAACTTTTCCAGTTAAAATATAGAGTTAAGACGACTCCCATGCATAAGACTACACCCGCGTATAAGACGACCCCTGACTTTTGAGAAGATTTTCTTGGTTTAAAAAGTAGTCTTATACGCCAGAATATACTGTAAATTCCACTGAGTGCTACACTTAAAATGTGGGAAGCCACTGTGTTCATCACATTAGGTTGGATTCAAGTGTCGGATAGAGCATTCTTTGAGTATTTTAAGCAAGGGGCCCAGCATTCTTCTCCAATGTTTCAGGCGGTGGTGGGGAAGTGGGTTTTTGGTAATGATCCGGATGTTTGGCCCATTCTGTAATGTGATGGCATTTGTTGCTCTCAGGTTTAAAATGAAACACTTCCCCAGTTTGTGGGAGAGGAAATTGTGGGAGGAATCAAGCCGATCTCTGGGTGCATCTCAACTGGAGAATAAAAGCAGTTGGGACCCATTCTAAATGCCATGATGATGGTGATGGTGATGATGATGATGATGATGATGCCATGTTGTGCAGTCCTGGAAGTCATAGTTTCCCAAGGTCCATAAAGTTCTCTGGGTGCATTTACAGTATGGAATGAATGCCCTTGCATCCCATTTTAAATGCCATGTCTCCATGTAATGGAGTCCTCCTGGGAGTTATAGTTTCCTAAGGTCTGTACCCTTCTCTGGTTGCATCTACACTGCGGAATGAATGCAGTTGAACCTTACTCTAAATGCCATGTCTCCATTCGATGGTCTTGGAAACTGCAGTTTTCCAAGGTCCATGAACCTTCTCTGGGTGCGTCTACACTGTGGAATGAACGCAGCTAGACCTTACTTTAAATGCCATGTATCCACGAGATGGTCTTGGGAATTGCAGTTTTCCAAGGTCCATACCCTTCTCTTGATGCAGTTACAGTATGGAATGAATCCCCTTGCAACCCACTTTAAATGCCATGGCTCCATACAATGGGGTGTTCCTGGGAGTTATAGTTTCCCAAGGTCCATACCCTTCTCTGGGTGCATATACACTGTGGAATGAATGCAGTTGGACCTTACTTTAAGTGCCATGTCTCCACGAGATGGTCTTGGGAATTGCAGTTTTCCAAGGTCCATACCCTTCTCTTGATGCAGTTACAGTATGGAATGAATCCCCTTGCACCCCACTTTAAATGCCATGACTTCCTGGGAGTTATAGTTTCCCAATGTCCATACCCTTCTCTGGGTGCATCTACACTGTGGAATGAATGCAGTTGGACCTTACTTTCATAGTACGGAATCCAAGGGGCAGAAAAAGTAGAAGTCCAGAGTATGAACCAGTGGGTTCACGTGTCATTTTTGCCTCCCCTTTTTGGCTGGCAAACGGACGCATTCCAACACCTTGCTTGCCTTGGCAGACTGAAAAGGGAAAGATTCCTCGCTCCCCGTCCTCTTCTTGTTCTGAATGCACCAATGTTGGACATCTGGGGCTTGTTTTGCTGCTTCTTCTTTGAAATTTCCATGCTTTTTCGTCTAAAACAACAACCGCACTCGGATGCGCCTTGGCTGCTCCTCGGTCTTTTGGGGGAGAGAAACAGAAGTTGGCTCTCCAAGCCGGCGTCCCAATGGAAAGCAGCTGTGCTTCGGCGCTGGGTTTGTGACCCCGTTTGACTCTTCCATGGGTTTTATTTGCACGTAACCCAAAATCAGAATTACCGTGCTTTGGCGTTTGGGCTTTTGGAAGGCATCTCTTTGCTTATGTTTTTTGCTGGCTTCCTGCTTCCCGCCTGATCGTCTCCTCTTGTGTATTTTATGTATTTCGTGCCAGCCTCCAAGGTTTGGTATGATCAACGCTCCCTCCAAACGTTGCTTTAGGTCTCAATCAAAAAAAGAAAACGTGGGAAAATACTTTATCTATTGTGGCAGAAGCAAATTGAGGGTACAGTTGTAATTTACTTATCCACAGGGGTCCCGGCCTCCACTGGACGTAAATATTTAAGATTTTATGTTTTTTATTAATATTTTCAAAAACCGCAAAGCAGCGAGTCCGCTAAAAGCGAACCGCGAATGTGGGAACCCAGGCGCCTTAAAGAGCCAGACTCAGGAGTATGTCCAAAAGAATAGTTTATTGAAGCAAAGTAAACAGGACTCAGAGACACTTGCTTTAGTGCCTTTGGTCAAAAATCAAAAGTTGTAGAAATTTCTAGCTTGAAAAACTTAGTGCTGACACGCGTGTCATAGGTTCACCATCACGGGTGTAGATGTTAAACATGGATGGAGCGAGCACGCTCCCCTGAGGCAGGCCATTCTTCTGTTTTCGCCATCTATGATACTTCTCTGGCCCTGGAACTCAACAAAAAAGCTCCTGTTTTGTAGCAGATTTCCCATGAAGCGGGTGAGGTGGTCGTCCTTTGTGATACTATATTTTTTTCTCAGGAGAAAGCAATGGTTTACAGTTTCATAATACTAATACCTGTTATTCCTGGCTCCTCACTTGCCGGTGGTTGGGAATGCTTGGCATGGCAATCCGACTGTATTTGGAGTCCACGTGGCTCTTTCCGCATGCCTTTTCACAGGCAAACTGTCTTTTGGGTTCCCTCCCTTTCCCCCGCCCCACTCCGTCCTGTTTCAACACTCTTCTGAAGTGGAATGGGCTTTAATTTCATAACAGGCGAAGAATGTGCGCTCCACGTCTCTCCGCCACATTCCAGGCCAAGAGATCTGTGCTGAAGATGCATCTCTGGGCCATGTTTTGCCAAATTTCTTGCATTTTCCTTTTCCCATCAATAGATATCTGCATAATGGTGTTAAATTATTTCTCTGCTTGTACGTTTACACCTTTTGCATCCTCCCATTCCAGCTTCCCTTGACTCTTTCCAGACTTGCCAGAAGGGGGCATTCCAGGGTCTCGGTTCAGAGACTTGAGACCAGTTTTCGTCATTTGCTGTTTCTCCAGCAACCGAGTGGGCTTCAGGGGACAATGGGTGTTGTTCTCCAAGGCATTCCCCAGGTTGAGACGTGTCTTGTTTCGCTTCCGCCCCCCCCCCGCCCCCCGCCCCCCGGTGCATTTCGAAATAGGTGCTGGGTTGACCATCTGATCCATGATTTGGGGAGATTTTTGTACGCCTTCTCCTCCCTCCACCAGCATTTTAACCTTCTCTCTCTCTTTCTCTCCTTTCCTCTTGTCTTTCCAGGAGGCGGACAGTGGCGAAGATGACCCCCGTTTCCAGCCCAGAAGGTGAGTGGACGGCGTCCAGCTTCATAGCTATGGTTGGTTGTGTTGCGGGGCCACGGTGGCACAGTGCATTAAACCGCTGAGCTGCATACCTTGCTGATCAGAAGTTCAAATCTGGGGAAGGGATGAGCTCCCATTGTTAGCCCCAGCTTCTGCCAACCTAGCAGTTCATAAACATAATCTAGCATAACTCTGGAATATCGGAAATCAATTGAATTTCCTGACCACTCAACCTCCGAGCAGCAGAATTGCTGATCGAAAGGTTAGCAGTTCAAATTTCGAGACAAGGTGAGCTCCCGCTGTTAGCCCCAGCTTCTGCCAACCTAGCAGTTCTAAAACATAACCTAACATAACTCAGGAATATTGGAAACCGGTTGAATTTCCTCACCAACCACTGAGCTGCAGAACTTGCTGATCGGAAGGTCAGCAGTTCAAATTTGGAGGCAGGGTGAGCTCCCGTTGTTAGCCCCAGCATCTGCCAACCTAGCAGTTTGAAAACATAACCTAACATGACTCGGGAATATTGGAAACCGGTTGAATTTCCTCACCACTCAATCGCTGAGCTGCAGAACTTGTTGATCGGAAGGTCGGCAGTTCATATCTGTGGACGAGGTGAACTCCCGTTGTTAGCCCCAGCTTCTGCCAACCTAGCAGTTTGAAAACATAACCTAACATAACTCAGGAATATTGGAAACCCATTGAATTTTCTCACCACTCAACCACTGAGCTGCAGAACTTGCTGATCGGAAGGTCAACAGTTCAAATTCAGAGATGGGATGAGCTCCCGCTGTTAGCCCCAGCTTCTGACTACCCAGCTGTTTGAAAACATGACCTAACATAACTCAGGAATACCAGAAATCAGTTGAATTTCCTAACCACACAACCGCTGAGCTGCAGAACTTGGTGATCGGGTCAGCAGTTCAAATTAGGAGATGGGATGAGGTCCCGTTGTTAGCCCCAGTTTCTGCCAAGCTAGAAGTTCGAAAACATAACTTAACATAACTCAGGAATATTGGAAACCGGTTGAATTTCCTCACCACTCAACAGCAGAGCTGCAGAACTTGCTGATTGGAAGGTTAGCAGTTCAAATTTGGAGACAAGGTGAGCCACCGCTGTTAGCCCCAGCTTCTGACTACCTAGCAGTTCGAAAACATGACCTAACATAACTCAGGAATACCAGAAACCGGTTGAATTTCCTATTCACACAACCGCTGAGCTGCAGAACTTGGTGATCGGGTCAGCAGTTCAAATTCGGAGATGGGATGAGCTCCCGTTGTTAGCCCCAGTTTCTGCCAAGCTAGCAGTTCGAAAACATAACCTAACATAACTCAGGAATATTGGAAACCCGTTGAATTTCCTCGCCACTCAACAGCAGAGCTGCAGAACTTGCTGATTGGAAGGTCGGCAGTTCAGATGCGTGGACGGGTGAGCTCCCGTTGTTAGCCACAGCTTCTGCCAACCAACCAGTTTGAAAACATAACCTAACATGACTCGGGAATATTGGAAACTGGTTGAATTTCCTCACCACTCAACCGCTGAGCTGCAGAACTTGCTGATTGGAAGGTCAGCAGTTCAAATCTGTGGACGGGGTGAGCTCCCGTTGTTAGCCCCAGCTTCTGCCAACCTAGCAGTTTGAAAACATAAACTAACATAACTCAGGAATGTTGGAAACCGGTTGAATTTCCTAACCACACAACTGCTGAGCTGCAGAACTTGCCGATCGCAAGGTTGGCAGTTCAGATCCGTGGATGGGTGAGCTCCCGTTGTTAGCCCCAGCTTCTTTTCTTTTTCTGATCTTTTCTATTAATTATTTTTAAAAGGATGTTGTTGTGTGTCTACTGTGGTGTAAGGAAGAGGGACAGATGGAGGGAAGAGGCCTCCATCTATCTTTGTTTATCTCTCTTTGCCTCTCCGTTGTGAAACCAGGAAAGGAAATGCGGGTCCCCCCTCCCCGGCCTTCTTTCCGGCGTGCCTTGTTTGCGTGTGCCTTTGTGCATCGGATGCCAGGGTTTCGGCATATTTAAAATGCTTTCTTGCCATGGGAAAGCCGGACGGAGTGACCTCCCGGCCTGCGACTTCCTCTCGCAGCGCTGGGATCAGGAAAGAAGGGAAGGGGCTCCCAAGGTTTGTTTTAGAAGGAGTCAGACTGCTGCTTTCTTCCACAACCCTGGACCTTGGCTTTGCGGGACTAGCGATTTCCCGTGTTTCCTTCTCGTCCCCTTGAAGCCAATTCTGTTTCATGGCAGCCTTACGGCAGGGTTGCATTTGGCACGATTTGGCCAGAGAGGGCTTGCCTTTGCTTCTCCCTGAGGCTGAGAGAGTGTGGCTTTGCAAAGCGGAGCAGGAATTCGACCCCTGTTCCAGGGTGCCAACACTGAAACCACTTAGATATATAGCTATATTATGGCCATACATATAGGAGCCCCCAGTGGCACAGTGGGTGAAACCCCTGTGCCAGCAGGACTGAAGACCGGCAGGTCGCAGGTTCGAATCTGGGGATAGCGCGGATGAGCTCCCTCTATCAGCTCCAGCTCCTCATGCAGGGACACGAGATAAGCCTCCCACAAGAATGGTAAAAACATCAAAACATCCGGGCGTCCCCTGGGCAACGTTCTTGCAGACGGCCAATTCTCTCACGCCAGAAGCTACTTGTAGTTTCTCAAGTCGCTCCTGACACAACCAAAAAAATGGCCGTACAGTCCGGAAAACTCACAACAACCTGGAGGGCATACTATTTGAGGGATTGGGGACAGATGTGCACTGCACATGCACAGAGGCCACTTTTTTCTGATTGCTATGGGCATATTTCATGCTTCTTCTAGTGTATCATAGAGAAGAATCAAAAGGTAGGAAAGGCCATGGATTGGGGACTGATTTGCACTCTGCACATGCTCAGAGGCTGCCTTTTTGAGATTGCTATGGGCATATTTTATGCTTCTATTAGTGTATCATAGAGAGGAAGGAAATGCTAGGGATTAGGGACAGATTTGCACTCTGCACATGCACAGAGGCTGCCCTTTTCTGATTGCTATGGGCATATGTCAGGTTTCTATTAGTGTATCATAGAGGGGAATGAAAGGCCAGGGATTGGAGATAGATTTGCACTTCACATGCACAGAGGCCGCCTATTTATTTATTTATTTGTATTGTTGAAGGCTTTCATGGCTGGAACCACTAGGTTCTTGTGGGTTTTTTCAGGCTATAGGGCCATGTTCTAGAGGCATTTCTCCTGACGTTTTGCCTGCATCTATGGCAAGCATCCTCAGAGGTAGTGAGGACCTCACTACCTCTGAGGATGCTTGCCATAGATGCAGGTGAAACGTCAGGAGAAATGCCTCTAGAACATGGCCATATAGCCCGAAAAAACCCACAAGAACCTATTTATTTATTTATTGACAACATTTATGCGCCGCCCTTCTCCCCCCCAAAGGGGACTCAGAGCGGCTTACAAGATATATATACATACAATATATTATATTATTAGCATAGTACAATATCAGTATTAAATATTACTATTTTGTATTATACCATTACATTGTAATATTATTAGTAATATTACATGTAATATAAATATGTAATTATAATATCATATTATTATTAGTATTATTATATTGCATTACATTATCATATTATAAATATTATATGTATATACAATATATTATATTTGGCCTTCCCATTGTTTTTAATGGTGTGTTGCCTTATTGATAATGTTGTGTATTTTATTGTTTATGTTTTTTTAATTGCTTGTATTGTTGTGTTTGGGCTCGGCCTCATGTAAGCCACACGAAGTCCCTTGGGGAGATGGTAGGTAAAGGTAAAGGTAGTCCCCTGACATTAAGTCCAGTCATGTCTGACTCTGGGGTGTGGTGCTCATCTCCATTTCTAAGCCGAAGAGCCAGCATTGTCCGTAGACACCTCCAAGGTCATGTGGCCATAGGCATGACTGCATGGAGCGCCGTTACCTTCCTGCCGGAGCGGTACCTATTGATCTACTCACATTTGCATGTTTTTGAACTGCTAGGTTGACAGAAGCTAGGGCTGACAGCGGAAGCTCACGCTGCTCCCCGGAATCGAACCTGCGAACTTTTGATCAACAAGCTCAGCAGCAGTGCTCCTATAATATTATATTATAAATTATAATAATATTATAATATAATAATAATAATAAAATATATAAATAAATTATAATATTATAATATTATAATAATATAATAATATTAAAATATTAAAATTATAATAATATTATAAATATTATATGTATATACAATATATTAAATTACATTATATTATACTTTTCTGATTGCTATGGGCAGATGTCAGGTTTCTACTAGTGTATAATGGAGAGGAATTAAGAAGGACAGGCCAGGGATTGGGAATAGATTTGCACTCTGCACATGCTCAGAGGCTGCCTTTTCCTGATTGCTGTGGGCAGATTTGAGGCTTCTAGTGCACTTTGCAAGCCTTCCTGGAGCCTGGAAGGGGCGTGGTTTAGACTTAGGGGGCGGTGCTGAGTGTGACCCCGCCCCCTTCCCGGCGAGGCAGTTGTGCAGGCGGCGTGGGTGGGTTAGGCCCCGCCCCCTTCTCCCTCCTCCTCCTCCTCGTGGCCCTCTCTGCGCTTGCGCACTGAAGCCGGGAGTTGGAAGAAGGCACAGGCAGAAGAGTGAGAGAGGAGCCCAAGGAGGAGAGAGACCCCGGCCATGCGCCTCTCTCCCTCCGAGGCCTCCCCCCCACAATGATCCCCTACTTCTCCAGCGACGCCATCATCTCCCAAAACGCCATCAACCAGATGTGAGTCGCCCTTTGGGGGGTCCAAATAAAGGGGGGGGGCAAATGAGCCAAGCCTCTCCAGAAGGGAAGGAACTGCCCAGGAAAGAGAGGGGAAAGGGGTCTCACTTCCTCCCTTTGCCTTTCCTCCCTTCCCCTTTTCTCTCCTGCTGCTTCTCCTCCTTCTTTTCCTCCCTTTTTCTGTTTTTGCCAACTTTTCCCTGGAGTCATTTCGGGAC